ATTATGCTCAAGATTTGGTCCTATTGACACAATTAGCTTTGCTTTCCTTTTCACTGCTCTATAGTATTCCATTGGGAGCCTGTATCACTATGTGCCTATTTTGTTACTACTGGGCATGGTTTTTTCCTGTTGTTCACTCTTACAAAGGCTGTTACAGTGAATATCCCAGATCTGCTTCCTTGTGAAAAGGTAGCTTCTTTAGAAAGACAAGAAGGATGAAAAGGGTCCAGCACCAGTTAGCTTTGAAGAAGGGAAACAAATATTTATAGAGCACCCTTCAGGTGCAAGGCAGTATGCCAGGCTGACCCCAGCCTGGACCTGGGAGGTGCTGGGGGCCTAAATTGTTGGGCAGCCTGGAAAGTTCTGGGAATGTTGACCCCAAATGGATCAAAGTATTCACCCTACCTTTTTCACTTGAGGTTGCTCATCTCTCGCTTTGCATTTTTTCAGAACATTAAAGGCAAAGACCCTGGAATCAGACTGCTTGCCTTTGTTCTGGTCCCTCACTCACTCATAAGTTGTTGGCCTCAGGAAAATTAATTACTTAAACTCTCTGGGCCTCAGTTCCCTTATCTGTGAAATGGAAATAGCCCTTCCCCTATGAAATTATTGAGACGATGAGGTGAGATCACCTATATAAGACACTTAGCTCAGGGGCTCCTGAGTGGCTCAGTTGGTAAAGCTTCTGACTTCGGCTCAGGTCATGATCTCATAGTTCGTGGGTTCGAGCCCGCATCAGGCTCTGTGCTGACAGCTTGGAGCCTGGAGCCTGTTTCAGATTCTGTCTTCCTCTCTCTGTCTTTCCCCTGCTTGTGCTCTCTCTCTCTGTCTCTCTCTCTGTCTCTCTCTCAAAAATAAATAAAAATTAAAAACAATTTTTTTTTTAAATTTAAAACACTTAGCTCAGTGTCCGACAGGTAGCAGAGAGCAAATCTTACCTATGATACTTGGTAGCAATTAAATGATGATGATGAAGAAAGTAGTGTCTCTCTGATTGTAAGTCTGTCTTTGTCTCATGTTGCTTTATGAAAACCAAAAGCAGGGGTGCCTGGCTGGCTCAGTCAGTAGACCATGAGACTCTTGATCTCAGGGTTGTGAGTTCGAGCCCCATGTTGGGTGTAGACATTACGTTTTTTAAAGACTCTTCTCTTTTTAAAATTTTTATTTGTTTTTGAGAGTCAGAGAGAGTGTATGGCAGTGCCCATGCGAGTCGGGGAGGTAGAGAGAGAGGGAGAGACAGTATCTGAAGCAGGCTTTGCACTGACAGCAGAGAACCTGATGTGGGGCTCGAACTCACAAATGGTGAGAAAATGACCTGAACTGAAATCAAGAGTCATATGCTTAACCAACTGAGCCACCCAGGTGCCCCAGGTATATAGATTACTTTAAAAAAAAAAAAAAAAAAAAACCTTAAAAAAAAAAGAATCAGATCATTAATACCATTTTCCTACTGAACCATCACAATCAAGAGAAGGGATATTTTGTAAGTATGCTGGAAAGAAACCAGTTTATCAACCTGATGACATCAGTGGGCCAATTCATTTTTCTCTCTTTGAATGTCATGTACCCTGATGGCCGTAAATCCCTCTGTGGGTGTGGCCAGAATACTGAGTGTATCAATATTTGCTAAGATGCTTGAAGGGCTTGCTTTTCATTTGCCAGGGCCGTGGGATTGTGGTCTATGGGTCAGGCCTGACGTTCGTGATGCCGCATGCAAACCCCTCCTCCCTGAAGAGTCAAGGTGGCCAAATCTTACATTTGAGCTCCAAGAGAATAGCAACAGCACCAGTTGCAAAATAGTCATGTTTCATTTGCTGTAGAAGACACAAAACTTCGTCATGGCCAGGAAGTCCCTGCAGCTACACCTGCCAAAGAGTATTTCTTTGCCCCGAGTTTATGAAGCAACATCTAAAATAATGAAGAATTTAATTCTCCAGGAAGGCCTTCTGAAGGGCTCTAGGACTCACATCTGGAATTCCACATCTGAATGGAAATGGGGTGTGTGAACTGTGTTGCTTCCAAAGGTTGACAGATTGTTTCTCCATTCTTTGGGACCACCATCTTATAACATGGCAGACATTTGCGTAGAGAGAGATTGAGGTCCACTGAAGGTCCAAACATGCTATGTATGAGTGACATGGAAGGTGATCTGGAATGTTATCTGAGGAACATCTGACAGAGAGCATGTCTTTACCCAAACAGTAATTTTAAAATATCCTTTGCAGGGCGCCTGGGTGGCTCAGTAGGTTAAGTGACCAACTCTTGATTTCAGCTCAGGTCATGATCTCACAGTTTGTGAGTTCAAGCCCGACATCGGGCTCTGAACTGACAGTATAGAGCCTGCTTAGGATTCTCTCTCTCTCAGCCTCTCTCCCACTCATGCTCACTCTCACTCTCTCTCAAAATAAATAAATAAACTTTAAAAACAAATAAAATAAAATGCCCTTTGCACAGCTGCTGTGTGACTTGTCTTCATGACTCTTTTCTAGAGAATGGTTTCGGACCCCAGGCAACTTCTCTCACATGAGAATCTGACCGGGGAGAGACACACAGGTATGGAGGGGTTCAGTCAAGTTCATGGCTAAGCGTTAGGGTGAAGGGCTGTGAGCTGGTCTCCTGGAGCTGCCCAACCCTGTTTAACTCTCTCTCTCTCTCCATTTCTGCGAGATATGCTAGTATCTTTCCTCTCTTTTTATTTTTCATTTTTTACTTAAGCTGATTTGAAGTGGATTCAGTTACTTGCATTTATGAGGCCCTGAGTTACACAGTTATAATAAGACGTGATAATCCAAACAGCCCAGCCTCAACCATCAAAGAATTTCCTCAGAGTTTCAGTTCTAGGGGTGCCTGGGTGGCTCAGTTGGTTAAGCACCCAACTCTTTTTTTCCTTAATGTCTATTTTTTTTTAATTTTTTTTAATGTTTTTTATTTATTTCTAGGAGAGAGAAAGACAGCGTGAGCAGGGGAGGGTCAGAGAGAGAGGGAGACACAGACTCTGAAACAGGCTCCAGGCTCTGAGCTGGCAGTCAGCACAGAGCCTGACGCGGGGCTCGAACCCACGAACCGCGAGATCATGACCTAAGCGAAAGTCGGACGCTTAACCGACTAAGCCACCCAGGCGCCCCAATGTCTATTTATTTTTGAGAGAGAGACAGCGAGCACGTGCATGAGCAGAGGAGAGGCAGAGAGAGAATGGAACAGAGGATGCAAAGTGGGCTCTACGCTGACAGCAGAGAGCCTGACAGAGGGCTCCTTCTCACCAACCGTGAGATCATGACCTGAGCCGAAACCAAGAGTTGGACGCTTAACCGGCTGAGCCACCCAGGCGGCCCACATTTTTGTTGTTTTAAACTCCCAGATTGGTACTTTGCTATGGTGGCCCCAGGACACAGTACATTCACACACACCAACTGAGTCTCACCTCAAGGACCTTTGTGGTTCCCGTCACCATCACCGCTGGCTAGAATGTGCTTCCCCCAGAGTTTTCCACATTTTGCTCTGCCTTGTCATTTATGGCACAGGTCAAGGTCACTCCTTATAGAGACCTTCCCAGTCATCCCAGATCCCTCCCTTTGAAGCCTGTCACCTGCTTTGCTGTCTTCGTAATACTCCCAACTGTCCCCAGTTCCCTTTCTAGTCCCTGTTTTACTTTTCTGTCTGTCTCCCCACCCTGAAGGTGAGTTCTGTAAGAAGACGGTCTGGGTACCTTGTTCCTTGTACTATTTGCACCAACGACCCAGCACAGCCTCTGGCACGTAGTTGGTGCTTGATACCTGAGAGCGGATGGAGGGGCGCCTGGCTGGCTCAGTCAGTAAAGCAGGCAGCTCTGAATCTCAGGGTCATGAATTCAAGCCCCACATTGGGTGTGGAGCCTACTTAAAAAAAAAAAAGTTGGTGGAACTCATGAACAAATAAATGAATGAATGTAAGTTAACTCTGAACAGGTCAGAGTTTCACAGCCGGGCTCCCTGCTGACTCATGCATTTGCGGGGGTGGGGGTGGGGTACTACTCCTTCCGTCTGAGCTCAGATCTGTGATCTCTTCCTCTTTAAGAAGGTGATTTCTGCTTTAACTTTCTATTTCTAGGAATGGACTGGAGAACCTGGCAAGCAAAGTGCTCTGAAAACACTTCACAATGAGAACGTTTATGTCTGTTGCTCTTCATTTACTGCCGTCCAACTACGGATGGGAGTCTGAGCATCTACCTTTCTTATCTGTTTCTGAGTCAGGATGTCAGAGCAAGTCTCATCTTGCCAAAGAATCAAGGAGCAACCGGCTGGGGATGAAAGCGTAACAGAAACTTGGATGGATCACAGGCTCAAACCAGTAGGTCTCCTTTCCATCCCAGAACTGGGAACTGAAATAATTCCATAGGAAATTCTTCCTTCCCCCTCCTGTGCAAGTGCCTCAGTCTGTCCCCATTCCTTTTTTTCTGACACATCATTTTTTTCAACCACCAAGCTTTATTATTTATTTATTTTTAAGTCTATTTATTTATTTTGAGAGAGAGAGAGTGCATGAGAGAAGGGGAGGGGCAGAGACACAGAGAGACAGAAAATCCCAAGCCGGCTCTGAGTCAGTACGGAGCCAATGCAGGGCTCGATCTCAAACTGTGAGACGGTGACCTGAGCAGAAACCAAGAGTCAGACGCTGAGCTACCCAGGAGTCCTGGATTCCTTTTTAAATACACAAATAGTAACAGCAATATTCACCGAACTCTAAATAAAATATACAGTTTTCTTGCAACCCTGTCTGCACCTCCCTTCCCAACTAGATTGCTTTTTATTTATTCCCAGCCCTTTCTCATCCTGGTCCTAACGCAGGTGTGATTTTCACTTAACTGTCTCTTGGTGCAGTTCAGCGTCCACAGCCTTTTCTTACTTTACAGTATTCAGGTTTTTTTCTACCAGGACACAGTTAACAACCCATAAAAGTCTCCGCTTAAGTAAGAAGTCCGTTTCTGTGAACTGTCACCCAGACACATGCAACACCAGACCGTGTGTCTCATATCCAAGTTTATTGAAGTGGTAGATTTCCCATCAGGACACAAACACGAGCAAACGAACCAGAGGCACCTTCTCCCTCTAACCACTGGACAGCATCTCCCTTTTAATGACAAAAGCAAACAGAGGTGGGGAGCAGCTTTCTTCTCCGGAAGTCTCTAACTGCTCAGCCTTCACACTAGTGTCAGGAAGAGAGGAATGCATCGTAGCACACATGCCTTTCCTTTTTCTTAGTAAGACTGCTTTGCTCAGTCCTGCCCTGGCTAATCCCTTTCTTCCCACTACTGGAAACTCAGATATTAACCAAAATTTGTGAGTCTCTTTGCCTGGTGCTTTTCCGCTAAAGCTTGGCTGAAAGATGAATCGGTCCCTTGGAATGTAAGTGACCTTCTGGCTACTTTAATGATGCCTGGCCTCCCTTCAGGGGCAATAACTCCCCTCCAGTCACTTAGCTGGTCTCACCAGCTGGAGTCCACCTACAGGCTAGATACCCATCCCCTGCCAGGAGCTGAGAACCATCCATGTCTCAGGCAGGTGAGGGAAAGAGGTCAGTGAATCACAGGTGCTGATGCACATCTCTGTGGCTTCAAATCTACTTGGCAGAAGGTGTGGACAATTTTGCTGTCTTCAGTCCTGTGAGCGTCCGAGAGCAAGCAGAAGTTTCAGAAGCTTTGCTCTCCTTTCCAAGATTCCTCTGCCAGCGCTCTGCAACCAGGCGCCAGCCCACTCTGCCCACACCACTTCTCTAAGTCTGATTCTCTGAATCTGGAAGTGCCAGGAAACCACAGGCCAAGTCTAATGACGGTATTCTGTGCACCCAGCCACCCATTTCTCCAGAGACATTGGTTCTCGGTGACAGTCTCTTTTCTTGGCTTTACTATTTAGCGAGAAGCTGGGGTCAGATAAGATGGGTTCCATGGCTCACTGGACTTGGCCATTAAAGTGTCTGGAACACTCCTCGTCGTACTGAGATCCCCCGTGAGCTCCATGCTTGTGCTCTGGTTATTATCTGGCTCTTGTGGTGTCTTCTTCTGCAGACAGCGGTTAATCAGGGTGGAGAAGAAGTTGGGAAAAGACGGGCTGGAGAAGTAGTACACCAAAGGGTCCAGCATGCTGTTCATGTAGGTGAAGCTGAGGGTGATGAAAAACGCCAGGTCAACTGAGCGATAGACATCACAGTTCTTCGTACCCTTGGTGTGCAAGAGCCAGAAAATGCGTATGCGCACAGCCACGCTGGGCAGGAAGCAGATGATGAAGACAATGGTCACCACCATGATGAAGTTGATGGCCCTCTTGATCTTGGCGTGTCTGTCCATTTGTCGCTGGCGCAGGCTCCAGATGATTCTGGCCGAGCAGAACAGGATGATGCCCAGGGGCAAGACAAACTCCAGGAGGAACATGGCATCGTGCCACCGGAAGGTATGGCAGATGCTAAAGCTGCTGCACAAATTCGCATCTCGATTCCTGACCATCTTTTTGTGCAGGAGGTGGCCCGTCAGGCCAATGGTGACCCCCCACAGGAGGCAGGAGATGATGGCCGCTGTCCGATTGGAGATCTTGTTCAGAGCATGGTGGGGATGGACCACCCGGAAATACCTGTCCACGGCCACCACGGTGAGGAAGATGATGCTGCCCTGGCGGTTCATGGCCAACATGAAGAGCATCAGCCGGCAAGGGATGTCCCCAAACCTCCAGTCCCACTTCCTCACATAGTTGTCCGTCAAGAACGGCAGGCAGATGATCAGGAGAAAGTCAGCCACGGCCAAGTTGAACAGGAAGATCCGGCTGGATTTCCAGGACTTGAGGTGGAAGCAGAAAATCCACAGGGCAAGGCCATTGCCCAGGAGCCCGAACACAAACTCCAGCCCCAGCACCGGCGGCAGCACATTGGCAATGAAGTCGTCCCGAAACACACAGCAGTTCTTCTTGTCTATTTCCAGAAAATGATTCTGCTGCTGGTACAGGTTCATGAGTAGAGCGAGTCCGTCCTAGGGAGCGCCTCACCTAGCGAATGCTCAAGGAAAGAGGTGTGTGTCTGAGTGGCGAATGTGAGGTTCAGCGCCCGCCTTTATGTCATGTCAGGGTGTTGAAACAGATGACTGAATGGTTACCAGGAAACTACGAAATCGCTTAAAAAAAAAAAAGTTTAAAAAAAAAGCCAGCAAGGCTCTTATGCAATCTGCTGTTTGCATAAACAAGTAATAAAAATCCCCTGGGCAGACAGGAACCCACAGTTTCCTAAATGTAAAGGATAAGTTTAGGCAAGTCAACTGCCATTTGTGAATTACTGACACGTGGAAGGCATCCCTTTGGAAGGCTGTGTGCCTACATACCAAGTACTTAGCAGGAGAGAATTAATTCACCAGCAAGTTGTCGGCTTACATAATGAACAAAACAACAGTGGAAATAATAATGTCCTGTACTAAGCAGCTTGGTTTTCCAGAAACATTATGAATGAGTATGGAGGGGGGGGTTGGTGGCGCAGCTCTTGGGTGGCTCAGTCGGTTGGGTTCCGGACTTTGGCTCAGGTCATGATCTCTCCATTTGTGAGTTCAAGCCCCATGTCAGGCTCTGTGCTGACAGCTCGGAGCCTGGAGCCTGCTTTGGATTCTGTGTCTCCCTCTCTCTCTGCCCCTCCCCAACTCGTGCTCTGTCTATCTGTCTCTCTCAAAAATAAACAAACATTAAAAAAAAAATGAATGAGGGGCGCCTGGGTGGCTTAGTCGGTTAAGCGTCCGACTTTCGCTTAGGTCATGATCTCGTGGTTCGTGGGTTCGAGCCCCGCGTCGGGCTCTGTGCTGACTGCCAGCTCAGAGCCTGGAGCCTGTTTCAGAGTCTGTGTCTCCCTCTCTCTCTGACCCTTGCCTGCTCACACTGTCTCTCTCTCTCTCCTAGAAATAAATAAAAAAGAAACATTAAAAAAAAAATGAATGAGTATGAAGCTTTAGCATGAGTGTGATTTAAGAAACAGTAGCATGCTGGGGCATGCTCAGTCAGCTAAGCGTCCAACTCTTGGTTTTGGCTCAGGTGATGATCTCATGGCTTGTGGGTTCAAGTCCCACGTCAGGCTCTGTGCTGATAGTGCAGAGCCTGCTTAGGATTCTCTCTCTGCCCCTCCCCTGATCCCCTGCTGTCTGTCTCTCAAAATAAATAAATAAAGTAAAAAAAAAGAAGAAGAAGAAAAGAAAAGAAACAGCAGCTTGTATATAATTTCTTTGGAAACACCAAGAAGACCGTAATTGTCTATTGTATGAGGACAGATGTGTTGCTTTTTATGTTTCCATGCCATCCTCTCTGTACAAACACGGATTGCTTTTCCACACCAGAACTTCGTAATTAATCTCTAGTTAGAAGGTGGCGGGGGGGCGGGATACTTGAGAACAGCATACGATTTCATAAGATGTTTGAAAACTTGAACCCAGTTTGGATTGCAAGTGATAAGCTGTGGTTTTTGTTTGTGTTAGATTTTGATAGGCTTTTGTGCTAAAGTAAGTTATTTATTTTTAAGTTCATGATTTTTAGAAATCAGTAAGTGTTATTTTTTAGAGTTTTAGATTCACAGCAAAACTGAGCAGAAAGTGCAGAGATTTCCTGTATCCCCCTGTCTACACACATGCACACCCTCCCCTTACTAAGGGCATGATATGTTTTTTAATGTTTTTATTTATTTCTGAGAGAGAGAGAGACAGTGTGAGCATAGGAGGGTCAGAGAGAGAGGGAGATATAGAATCTGAAGCAGGCTCCAGGCTCTGAGCTGGCTGTCAGCACAGAACCCAATGCGAGGCTTGAACCCACGAACCGTGAGATCATGACCTGAGTCAAAGTCGGACGCTTAACCGACTGAGCCACCCAGGCGCCCTGGGGCATGATATTTTAAAAGCCCCCCTTTTTGGAAAATTAAATGTACAGCAATGGGACCTAAAAGGACTTTGAACTTTGCCTCATAGCAGGTCATCATTTCACACATCATTTCTTTGCATTTTAGTCTAATTGAGTAAAGCCTTACGGAACATTTCTACCCTTTTTTTTTTTTCATTTCTACCCTTTAATATTTTGGTTATGATTCTTGCTGTACAAGAGATTCTAAACTGTGCTGCTTCTCTTTGAGTTAAAAATAGGAAATTCGTGGGGCACCTGGGTGGCTCAGTCTGTTGAGTGTCTGACTTTGCCTCAGGTCGTGATCTCACCATTTCTGAGTTTGAGCCCCGTATCAGGCTCTGTGCTGGCAGCTCAGAGCCTGGAGCCTGCTTCAGTTTATGTGTTTCCCTCCCTCTCTGCCCCTCCCCCACTCATAATCTCTCTCTCTCTTTCACGGTCTCTCAAAAATAAATAACATTAAAAAATAGGAAATTCCTTTCTTTAGATGCATACCTAGTTTCAGTAAAAGGGATGGATTTGTAGACTCTTCACAGTAAATTGGAGTCAGAATGGTCTAATATTAGATTCCCATAGGAACCAGAGGACTGGATGATGAAGATAATGATGAAGAGGATGTTGGCTACACTAATAACAACTATCATAAAGAGAAGTGAAGAAAACAATCCTATTTACAATGATAACCAAAAAGAATAAAATACCCAAGAATAAATTTAACCAAGAAGGTGAAACACCTATACACCAAAAACTGCAAGACATTTATGAAAGACATTGAAGAAGACACAAATCAGTGGAAAGATATATTCCATGCTCATGGATTGGAAGAATTAATATCGTTAAAATGTCAATGCCACCCAAAGAAATCTACCAATTAATGCAACCCTTATCAAAGTGCCAATAGCATTTTTTGCAAAAATAGAACAAATAATTCTGAAATGTGTATAGAACCACAAAAGGTCCCAAATAGCCAAAACAATATTTTTAAAAAGTTTTTATGTATTTATTTTGAGAGAGAGAGAGTGAGCAAGGCACAGAGGGAGAGAGAGAATCCCAAGCAGGTTCCACACTGTCAGCGCAGAGCCCAGCTAAGAGCTTGAAACTATGAACTGTGAAATCATGACCTGAGCTGAGATTAAGAGTCAGACACTTGACTGACAAAGCCACGCAGGAGCCCCAACACAATCTTGAGAAGAACAAAGCCGGAGTGTTTTCACTCCTGATTTCAAACTATGTAACAAAGCGATAGTAATCAAAACTATGGTATTGGCATAAAAACAGACACACAAATCAGTGGAATGGAATAGAGAGTCCAGAAATAAACCCATGCAAATATGGCCAGTTAATTTATGACAAAAGAACCAAGAATATACAGTGGGGAAAGGACCACCTGTTCAATAAATGCTGTTGGGAAAACTGGACAGCCACATCAAAAGAACGAAACTGGACACAAAAATTAACTTTAAGCGGATTAAAGACTTGAATGTATGACCTGAAATCATAAAACTCCTGAGGCTCCTGGGTGGCTCAGTTAGTTGAGCATCTGACTCTTGATTTCAGCTCAGGTCATAATCTCACGGTTTACACTGAGCATGGAGCCTACTTGAAATTCTCTCTCTCTCTCTCTCTCTCTCTCTCCTTCTCTGCCCCTTCCTCACTTACTCTCTGAATGAATGAATGAATGAATGATAGAGGTTCTTCATAGACCTTTTTCTAAAGAACAATGGATGACAAACAGGTACATGAAAAGATGTTCAACATCACTAATCAGCAGGAAAATATAAATCCATATAACGATGAGATACCTCCTCTCACCTATTAGAATGGCTATTATCAAGAAGACAAGAAATAACAAGCATTGGTGAAGATGCAGGGAAAGGGCCCCTTATACACTGTTGGTGGGAATGTAGATTGGTGCAGCCATTATGGAAAACAGTATGGAAGTTTTTCAAAAAATTAAAAAAAGAAGTACCATACGATCCAACAATTACACTTCTGGGTATTTATCCAAAGAAAACGAAAACACTAACTTGAAAAGATATCTGTATGCCATGTTCATTGTGGCATTATTCACAATGGCCAACATATGGAAAAAAAAACTAAGTGTCCATAGACAGATGAATGGATTTTTAAAAAGTGTGTATATAAAAATGAAATATTATTCAACCATAAAAAAGAAGGAAATCTTGCCATTTGCAGCAACATAGATGGACCTTGACAGTATTATGCTAAAGGAAATAAGTCAGATGGAAAAAGGCAAATACTGTATGATCTCTCCTGATGTGGATTCATAAAAAAAAAAAAAAAAGGTCATAGATACAGAGAACAGATTGGTGGTTGCCAGAGGTGGGGGTGAAGGGTGGGCAAAAATGAGTGAAGGGAATCAAAAAGTACAACCTCCTGTTATAAAATAAATAAGTCCTGGGGATGTAATGTACAGGAAGTCGGCTATAGCTGATAATACTGTATTGCATATTTGAGAGTTGCTTAGAGAGTACATCTTTTCTTTTTTAATTAAAAAAAGAGTTTAAAGAGAGAGAGGGAGACACAGAATATGGAGCAGGCTCCAGGCTCTGAGCCATCAGCACAGAACCCAACATGGGACTTGAACTCACAAACCGTGAGATCATGACCTGAGCTGGAGTCAGTTGCTTAGCCACTGGCCACCCAGGTGCCCCAGTAAATCTTTTTTTTTAACTTTTTTTTAATTTAAAGTTTCTTTATTTTGAGAGAGAGAAAGAGACTAAGGGAGCATGAGTGGGGGAGGAGCAAAGAGAGTAGGCGAGAGAATCCCAAGCAGGCTCCACGCTGACACAGCACAGAGCCCATTGCAGGGCTCGAACTCGTGAACTGTGAGGTCATGACCTGAGCGAAACTCAAGAGTTGGGCACTTAACCAACTGAGCTACCCAGCTACCCCTAGAGAGTAAATCTTAAAAGTCATCATCACAAGAAAAAAGTTCCATAACTATGTATGATGACAGTTAACAGAACTCATTGTGGTGATCATTTTGCAATATACACAAATATCGAATGATTATGTTGTGCACCTGAAACCCAATATAATGTAGTATGTCATTTATTCCTCAATTAAAAAAATAAAAAGGAAAGGTGATGATGTTGACATCTATGTTACAGATCGCTTCCAATATGCTGGG